CTTATGCTCTAATAAATTTGTTAGTCTCTAAGGTGCCACAAGTACTCCTGTTTTTCATGGAGAGAGAGAGAGTGAAAGGGTCAAATGGTGCCTAGGACCCTTAAACATCTCCAGAGATGTACCACCTCCCTGGGTGATGCTTGCATATATTAGTTCAAACTGGATTCTCCAGAGGCCAACAGACAAAGAAAGGACTTTTGGATAAATAGCCTGAGTTTAAACTGACTCAGGGATTTCTTTCTGATCCAGCAAATGGACAGGACCTTTTGTCCCCAGGAAGGGGGGTAAAATTTGGAAGGACTGATACCTACCTACCATTGGGGTGGAGTTGCAGTGGGGTGACTGCTGGGAAGATTTTTAGCATGTGTCTGTTAGTTCTTGTATTATTTTAATCTGTGTTTTTAGTGCTTTCACCTTAAGAATAAATGTGCTTGCTTAGAAAGGGCTGTGTGGTAACTTAGAACTGTGGACAATTATAACAGTTCATAGCCTCTGAGGAGAAAGCAAAGTGCAGACACAGGCCAATTTAGGCCTTCTGGCTTGCCAGGGAACTCACAGTGTAGACAGGGAACAGTGCGGCCTAAAAAAATCCCGGTCAGGATTAAGAGAGATGTAGGTCTCTGCCCAAGAGAGATGATGGCTGAAGAGCCAGGAGCCTACAATGGGTGCCATTGCTGGACAATGAGGGGGAAATACAGATGAAGTTGCTCTAAACAGTGACTATTTTTATTTAAAATCTAGAAAGATATAAAATTAACATGGCACACATCAAATGGATTAAAAGCTGGCTAATGATTAGGTCTCAAAAAGTAATTGTAAATGGGGAATCATCCAACGGGTGTGCTTCTAGTGGGGTCCCACAGGGATCAGTTCTTGGGTCTAATTTAACATTTGTATTAATGAACTGGAAGAAAATATAAAATTACCACTGATATAGTTTACAGATGACACAAACATTGGGGGAATAGTAAATAACAAAGAGGACTGGTCACTGATACAGAATGTTCTCAGCCACTTGATAAGATGGGCACAAACAAACAGTATGCATTTTTAATATGGCTAAATGTAAATGTATATATCTAGGAAGAAAGAATGTAGGCCATAATTACTGAATAGGGGATTCTATTCTGAGAAGCAGTGACTCTGAAGAAGATTTGGTGATCATGGTGGATAATTAGCAAAATTCCTTGTCCAAAAAAGCTAATGAGATCCTGAGATGGATAATAAGGGGAGTCTTTAGTAGGAGTAGAGTGGTTATTTTACCTCTGTATTTGGCACTAGTGCAACTGTTGCTGGAATACTGTATCTAGTAGTCAAGAAAGATGTTAATAAACTGGAGAGGGTTCAGAGAAGAGCCACAAGAAATGATTGAAGTATTAGAAAACATTTATTATAGTGATAGACTCAAAAAGTTCAATATATTTAGTTTAACATAGAGAACATTTAGGGGTGACTATACGTATCCACACAGGAAAGAAATATTTAATAGTAGGCTCTTTAATTGATCAGAGAAAGATATTACACAATGCAATGGCTGAAAGTTGAAACGACACAAATTCAGACTGGAAATATGGTGTAAAGTTTTAATTACTTTCACTGTTAACTATTGGAACAATTTACCAAGGATCCCAGTGGATTCTCCATCACTGACAATTTGTAAATCAAGATTGGACGTTTTTCTACAAGATCTGCTCTAGGAATTATTTGGGGAAAGTTCTGTGTTATACACGAGGTCAGACTAGATGATCACAATGGTCCCTTCTGGCCTTGGAATTTATGAATCTATGATTTACTCAGAGTAGTTTTGATAGTATTTCTTAGTTATTAATTTAAAACATAAAAATGAAATTCTATAATCTGGATCTATTTTTAAGACATTTCAAGGGTCTCCTGTCCCGAACATTGTGCAAACTCAGTGAGGCAATAGGCCTGATTCTGAACTGAATTCTACTGTTATGAATCCAGAGTTTCTGTCATGCTACGCCCATATCAAAGCTGATTTTCACTGAAAAGCACTTCTCTCTAAGGACTGTTTTCCTTCCAAATATCAACTTGCTACCCCAAAATGTTTCTGTGCTACAATGCAACACTGACAGATGCCGGTTGTCAGCGGGCGGGATTGAACATGGAAGCTCTAGAGCTAAATCCATGAGCCTTTATTGCATGAGCTAAAAGCCAAACGGCACTGAGCTAAGGCTGTAGAACAGACTCATTAATCTTTCTCGCTCTCTAAGTGGTCTCAGTGCCACTAGATAGGACAGACCACCATACCCAGGAGGTGTGTAGGTTACAGTCACTGTATTTCACTCCCATTCTCCTTGTTTGTAAAATAGCTGAATAACTTTTTTGCTTACAATTCAACAAAACAAAACAAAAACAAATCAACTAAAATAAAAGCAAACTGTGGGCTTCAAAAATTTCATCCCCAAAAGTGAATGTTATGGAAAGCTAAAAGGAACTAAAAATAAAAGATTAAGATGGAGTGGATTTGGGAATCTTATCTGTAGTAGTTGCAATACTGGTGTTCCTCCTGTCATATTCTGGCTTTACTATTTTCAGATATGCATGATCATTTTTCAAATTAGAAAAAAAGGAAGAGAAGTTTTGATTATCTTCCAGACTAGAAAATGCTCATATGCTCTTCACATATTAGGGAGTAACTGAAGCGATCTATTTGAAAAACACTTACTGTGTCTGCAGCACCAGAATCACCTTGTGTTGCCTGTCTTTTTCTGGAGGACCTACAATACAAACCACATACTATTTAGACAATACAGTTTGGGAACAAGCTGAAATTGTAATTATTATGCATGGTTTTGAGAAGATGCTTATTAAAATCTATCAAACCAGCTGTGTTACATGACAGCCGTGCAGAATACAATGCCATCCACAGCCTCAGGAACAACTCTGATATCATAATCAAAAAGGCTGACAAAGGAGGTGCTGTCGTCATCATGAATAGGTTGGCATATGAACGAGAGGCTGCTAGGCAGCTCTCTAACACCACATTCTGCAGGCCATTACCCTCTGATCCCACTGAGGGTTACCAAAAGAAACTGCACCATCTGCTCAAGAAACTCTCTGAAAAAGCACAGGAACAAATCTGCACAGACACACCCCTAGAATCCCGACCAGGGGTATTCTATTTGCTACCTAAGATCCATAAATCTGGAAATCCTGGATGCTCCATCATCTCAGGCATTGGCACCCTGACAGCAGGATTGTCTGGCTATGTAGACTCTCTCCTTGCCCTATGCTACCAGCACTCCTAGCTATCTTCGAGACACCACTGACTTTCTGAGGAAACTACAATCCATTGGTGATCTTCTAGAAAACACCATCCTGACACCTATGGATGCAGAAGCCCTCTACACCAACATTCCACACAAAGATGGACTACAAGCCATCAGGAACAGTATCCCTGATAATGTCATGGCAAACCCAGTGGCTGAACTTTGTGACTTTGTCCTCACCCACAACTATTTCACATTTGGGGACAACGTATACCTTCAAGTCAGTGGCACTGCTATGAGTACCCGCATGGCCCCACCATATGCCAACATTTTTATGGCTGACTTAGAACAATGCTTCCTCAGTTCTCAACCCCTAATGCCCCTACTCTACTTGTGCTACATTGATGACATCTTCATCATTTGGATCCATGGAAAAGAAGCGCTTGAGGAATTCCACCATGATTTCAACAATTTCCATCCCACCATCAACCTCAGCCTGGACCAGTCCACACAAGCGATCCTCTTCCTGGACACTACAGTGCTAATAAGTGATGGTCACATAAACACCACCCTATACTGGAAACCTACTGACTGCTATACTTATCTACATGCCTCCAGCTTTCATCCAGACCACATCACACAATCCATTGTCTATAGCCAAGCTCTAAGATACAACCGCATTTGCTCCAATCCCTCAGACAGAGACAAACACCTAGAAGATCTCTATCAAGTGTTCTTAAAACTCTATCAAGCGTTCTTAAAACCACCTGCTGAAGTGAAGAAACAGATTGACAGAGCCAGAAGAGTACCCAGAAGTCATCTACTAAAGGACAGGCCCAAGAAAGAAAGTAACAGCATGCCACTAGCTGTCACCTTCAGCCCCCAACTAAAACCTCTCCAGCGCATCATTAAGGATCTACAACCTATCCTGAAGGACGATACCTAACTCTCACAGATCTTGGCAGACAGGCCAGTCCTCGCTAACAGACAGCCCCCAACCTGAAGCAAATACTCACCAGCAACTACACACCACACAACAAAAACACTAACCCAGGAACCTATCCTTGAAACAAAGCCCATTGCCAACTCTGTCCACATATCTATTCAAGGGACACCATCAGAGGACCTAATCACATCAGCCACACAATCAGGGGCTCATTCATCTGCATATCTACCAATGTGATACATGCCATCATGTGCCAGCAATGCCCCTCTGCCAGGTACATTGGCCAAACCGGACAGTCTCTACGCAAAAGAATAAATGGACACAAATCAGACATCAAGAATTATAACATTCAAAAACCAGTCGGAGAACACTTCAACCTCCCTGTACACTCAATTACAGACCTAAAAGTCGCAATTCTTCAACAACAAAACTTCAAAAACAGACTCCAACGAGAAACTGCAGAACTGGAATTAATTTGCAAACTGGACACTATTAAATTAGGCTTGAATAAAGACTGGGAGTGGATGAGTCATTACACAAAGTAAAAACTATTTCTGCATGCTAATTTTTCCCCTGCTGTTACTCACACCTTCTTGTCAACTGTTTGTAATGGGCCATCCTGATTATCACTACAAAAGTTTTTTTTTCCCCTTGCTGATAATAGCCCACCTTAATTGATTAGTCTCTCTAGAGTTGGTATGGCAACCCCCATTTTTTCATGTTCTCTGTATATATATATATCTTCCTACTGCATTTTCCACTGCATGCATTTGAAGAAGTGGGCTGTAGCCCACGAAAGCTTATGCCCAAATACATTTGTTAGTCTCTAAGGTGCCACAAGTATGCCTCATTCTTTTTGCTGATACAGACTAACATGGCTACCACTCTGCAACCTGTCTTAATGAACCATGTCATCATATTTCCGTATTTCATATTAAACCAGTCTGGGTGAATGGGTTGCTCTTTCACCTTCAGTAACTGGCACCAATTTGCAAATGCTGCCTTCTGCCAACCTCTATCTCTCTGGCATTCCTCACTCCAGGTTTTCCACAGAACTTCATATAAACTTTGATCCCTGAAAGGGGACTGAGGCTAAATTGAGGTTTGGCCAAAGGGAAAAATGCCAATAAACCCACCGAAGGCACCAGAGCAGCCTACCAACTGTGGAAGAAGGGAAACTGTGGCAGTTGAGGTACCCAGTGCTAGATCAGATAAGATGCTCCTACATCCTATAGCCAGCATAGTTAAGGACAATAAGAAGGAGTTTTGAAAATATATTTAGAATAAAAAGAATCCAGACAATGGTATTTGTCCATTACTAAATGGAAATTAGAGAATTATCAATAATAAAGCAGAAAAGGCAGTTATGTTCAATAAATATTTCTGTTCTATATGTAAGGGGACTGTTGCCCCCTTACTAACATCCAGTGGGGTGTTTTGGTTGCTAGCTCCCAGCACTGAAAGGGGAAGGGTCGATGGCAAATCAGGAGCCTGAGACTGACAGTCCCCAGGGGCAATGGGGAGAGGCCAATGCTCCAGATCAGCCTGATTGACAGGGCGGGCAGGCAAATCAG